TACACCCTGCGCGGCCCACCCCTGGCCTGGCCTCCACCCTTGGCCCCCACCCCCCATCCCTCGCCCGCAGATCCTGCTGGCGCTGCTGCTGGCCCTCTTCATCATCTGCATCCCAATCAACATCATCGCCCGCTGCCTGGGCTGCGCGCCGCCGCCGCCGCCGCCCGGCGCCGAGGACGACGCCACGCAGGCGCATGCGGGCATGAGCGCGGAGGAGGCGGCGGCGCACGCGGCGGCGCGCAACGCAGAGGCGCGGCGCGCGCCGCAGGCACAGGCCATGGCATAGGGCTGCCCCCCGCACACACACATGCAGCGCGGCGTGGGGAGGCATCCCATGTGGTGTGGCGTGGCGCGCGCTTGGCCGCCTTAGCCGCCTTCCCGGCTGCAGCTGCTGCGCAGCCGCTCAGCGCTCAGCCCAGCACTGCAACGTTGAACCCACCAGCTTACTGAGTATTGTATGCGAGCACTGCATTCCTACACGAATGGCCGGTACCACCTGTTTTCCTGCAAGCAATCCTTCATTCGCCGGTGTGTCACAACACAGGACGGTGTCGCAGTTGGGGCACGGAGAGCGGGTGCTGGAACTGAGGGAGGAAGCTGGAGGAAACTGAAGAAAGGAAGGTAGCCATAAGCGAAGAAGTCAGAGCGGCATGGCTGCCCGCATTCCAGTGCTGCCAGCGAGGGGCGTGAGGGAAAGGGGGTGCCCCGCCCCCCAGGATGATGCCACAATTGAGCACCAACAAAAAACACCACCCAGCAGCCTTTGCACACCCTGATGCTTGTGCATGCAGCCTTCGGAAAGCGCGCCCAGCTTGGGACAGCTCGGATGAGGACCCAGAGCGACAGCGGGAGAGCAGTCCCCACATCTGCACCAAGCAGCGGGCACTTCGCTCTTGCAGCTGGGGAGCTGCGGCGCTGGCTTGGGTTAAGGGCGCCGGCGCCTGCGCCACGCTGTCAAGCCTTTCGCTCTTGTTTGTGACCACTGCTGATTATCCGACACTCGAACATTCAATGCAGAGACGATTGCTGCGTGCAGGGAGCCCGCCGAGCCTTGACTCCCGACTTTGCGTTCGCGTAGCTGCACACCCTCCCCGACTCGCCCTCTGCGCCAGCCAGCCGCTCGCGGCATTCTTCCACTGCCGCTTGACATCACCGCCGGGCGCGGCAGCCCCACAGCTGCGGAGAGCCGTGTTGGTTTCGCTCCCTGCGCTGGCAGCTGGCCTCTGGGCCTCCTCGAGCTTCCTCCGCGGCGAAGGTGGGTGCCAATGCCGCCGTCAGAACCCGCACCGGGGCCAGGTTTGGAGCTGCTCCAAGGGTACCGCAGCTCCGCCTTCGCCCCCCCCTGCCTCTGCTAATGCATGCACTCTCCACCCTGCGCCGCCCTCTCATCCCTTGTTCTACCGCTGGACGCCTGCTCCTCCCCTGCCGTCTCCCTCGCGCCCGCCGCCCTCAGCGCTCGCCGCGCCGCCGCCGCAGCCTCCCCGCCCGCCGACGTCGCACGGCGCAGCAGGCGCCTCCGCCGCCATGCGCTCCCGCGGCCAGGACTGGCTGGTTGACCACCTCAAGCGAGACGGCGTGGTGGCGCACTCAGACGGTGCGCAGCCTCCCTGACCGATTGACGCCTCCGGCAGCCTGAGGCGCAGCACCCTCGCACCTCCCCCCTGCTCGCACCGCCGCAGCTCCCACCTCCCACCCACCTGACACGTGCACGCCTCCCTGCTCCTCCCCGCCTCCCCCGCCTGTATGACCCCCCTGGCCCGCCTGCCGCCAGTGGAGCGGGCCCTGCGCCAGACGGACCGTGCTCACTACGTTGATAGCGGCATCCCGCTGGCCTACATCTACCAGGCAGGAGGCCTGCAGCCTGCTGTGCCGCGCTGTGCCGCGCTGCGCTCTGCCGCTGCTGCTGCTGCTGCTGCTGCTGCCGCGCTGTGCTGCTGTGAGGTGCTCTGAGACTGCTCTTTGGGACTGCTCTGAGCTGCTCTGGAGGCCAGCCCGCGTTTCCATGGGCCATGCGGCCGCACGGCAGCGCCTGCGGCCATCCGACGGGAAGCTGATATCCCCCCCATCCAGCAGACCAACACTCACGTTTACCGCCTGTACCGCATGCCCCACCTGTGCTGCCTGTGCCCAGTACCGCCTGTACCGCCTGCCTGCGCCCGGCAGGACTCCCCGCTGCCCATCGGCTACCACGAGACCATCTCCGCTCCTCACATGCACGCCACCTGCCTGGAGCTGCTGCGGGGCCACCTGCGCCCGGGGGCCCGCGTGCTCGATGTGGGCTCAGGTGGGCGGCGGCTGCCGGTGGGCGTCGGCTGCGCCCTGCGGCGGCGGCGGCGGGGCGGGCACCATGGGACCTCCCTGGGGAGGCCGTGGCGGGAGGGCTGACACCTGCCTCGCGGCAGCCACGTGCGCGTCTGGAAAGTTGTTTGAATTTTTGATTGAATCAAGTTAGAAAGGGAGTGCGTGCCTCACAGCCACCGTTCGGAGCTCTGCCGCGCAGGCTCTGGCTACCTGGCAGCTGCCATGGGGCTGATGGTGGGGGAGGCGGGTGAGCCGCCGCCGCTGGGAGGGCAGGGTGGCAGTGCTGCTGAGGCACGCAGGCCCCGCTCCGGTGCCCGCTGCCAGGCTGCCCCCGCCGCCGGCAAGGCCGCCTGGCGCTGGCAGGGCTGCGCAGCGCTGATCGCTGGACAACCACATGGGCGTGCAGGCAAGGTGATTGGCATCGAGAAGCATCCGGAGCTTGCGGCACAGGTGGGCGGGGCTGGCTGGCGCCAGGCTGGCACTTGTTTGGAGCTGAGGCACACCCGGGGGTTAGGAGCCAGCTGGCTGGTCACTGGAGTGATGTGCCGCCTCCTTGAATCGCTGCCAGCCGTGGCACCCTGCCTCGTCGAGGAGGGCTCTGACCTTCGCCCACCCACCACCACCACCACCTCCTGCATGGCTGCCACCCTCTCTCCCGACTCCCTCTGTGCGCTCAGTCTGTGAAGAACGTGCGGGCAGACCATCCAGAGCTGCTGGACAACGGTGTGGTGGAGGTGAGCTGCTGTGCGAGTTGTCGACGCGGTGCAGGTCGTACGGCCGCATGTGGTGCCCGCTCGCCTCCCCACCGGCCGCAGCCCCGCCCCACGCCCGATACCCACCCACCCCGCCCGCCCGCCGCAGCTGCGTGCGGGGAACGTGCTGGGGGATGTGCTGGAGGGGGAGCAGGAGGGCTTTGATGCGATCCACGTGGGGGCTGGTGAGCACTGCTTGCTGGGCATGATTGGTGAATGGTGAACGGCTCTCCGCATTTGTTAGGGATTGTTACGCCAGAAGCTCTGGCCCTCCTCCCGGCCGGGCGGCAGCGGCAGCAGCAGCACAGGGCGCAGGACGGGCGCTGGCAGCAGCCTGCCTCCTCCACTCGGGTCCTGGCCATGCTGGCCAGGGCGGGGCAGCTGGCTCGGAGCTGCCTCCAGGCAGCCAAGCCCGCCACCTCTTCCCCACGATGCCGGCCTGCTCCGCTCTCCCCCCCGCAGCCGCCTCCTCGCTGCCAGACGTGCTGGTGCGCCAGCTCAGGCCTGGCGGGCGCATGGTGATTCCCGTGGGGCCGCAGTGGGAGTATCAGGTGTGGCCCCAGGCTGGGAGCAGAGTGGGAGTGTGTGGGTGGGCGGGGGTGGAGGGGGGCCTCTCGGTGGTGGGTGTGTCACCCACCCACCCACCCACCCACCTCCGGGCATGATGGTGACAGCATTGGCGGCAAGTGGGCGGGGGGCATGATGTGGGCATGATGCTGGAAAGGGGAGCCAGTGGGGGCGGCTGCTAACCGCTGCCTGTCGGAGGGACGGCAGCCGCGGCAGCGGCGGCGCCATTCGGGGCAGGACCATTCGTCCCCTGACCCGCTGCCGCCGCCTGCGCTTGGCGCCGCCCGCCGCTGGCCGCTCTGGCCGCCACCCGCCCGCCGCCACCCGCCGTGCCTGCAGGTCATGCAATGCATCGACAAGGATGCCGCCGGGCGCGTGAAGAAGCACGACCTCATGCACGTGCGGTACGTACCGCTGACCAAGCCTGGGGAGAGCGAGTGGGAGCCGTGAAGGCGCCACTGGCATCCAAGCGGGCCAGCCGGCTGGCAGCCCCGGCCCAGCAGGCGAGGGAGCGGCTTCGATGTCAGAAGCGGGAGAGGCGGTGCCGTGGCGTGGCGGCGAGAGATGCAGGAGGGCGGTGGAAGCTGGCCCCGCTGCTGGTGTCCAGACGCATGGGCTGTTGTTGACCGGGAGGGCGTGTGTGTTTTGATGCGTTGCGTTGCGATTTGATGCGGCTCGATGCCTGCGATGCCACCCCCCCTTTGGGGCATGTACCAGTTTACATGTAGAGAGTCTGGGATAGCCACCGATGGTGGACAAGTGCATGTGTGTCAACCCATGCGGGCATGCTGAGCAGCGCGGCCCCCCTGCCTTCCACCGCCGCCCGCCGCCTCTCATCTCAGCCCTGGCGCCTCGCCCGGGGGCTTTTGGGCTGTGGGGCAGACGTTGCTTACGCACCTGCCTTGCAGCAGTGCCACAACCAGCAATAATAATCACGCCGCCTGCCCGGCCTGCTCGCCGCTGCCTACCCCCGCCATCACCGCACTGAAGTCGGCATCACTGTAGCCAGCTGCCCGAGCCTGCAGGGGAGAGGATACATGTGGCTGACCTCAGGCAGCGCCAGCAGGCTTGGCGGCCGGCGGCGGGGCACTGGGGGCCGCCATCCACGCGAGGGTGCCGGCATGCAGGCTGCGCCACAGGCGGTAAACTGCTGTGCGTGGGGCCGCATCGGGTGCCGCCCCACAGCAAGCCGTCGGCGGCGCCGGCGGTGCCGCCCACACACGCGCAAGCCAGCCGCAGCCACCGCCTGCCCACCCCCAAGCCACCTGCGCCACCTTCAGCCACCCACCACCCAATGGCCCAGGTGGCGCCCCACCCACCCACCCAGCCACCCACCCGCTTATACAGCTCGTTGGCCGCGGCCGCCAGCGGCAGCGGCTGCTGCACCTCATCCCCCAACGCCAGCGCCAGCCTGCGGGGCGGGCGGGCGAGCGAGGGAGGGAAGGCGTGCGGGGCGGCGGCGGCAGCAGGGTCGGGACACACAGAGCCACTCTGACGTCATCCGCAGCTGGCGGCACGCACACCAGGCTCAGGCAGCCGGGCATGCATCGTGGGAGGCCAGCCAGCACGCCAGAACCATCCACCTGCAGCACCTGGCATCACCCAGGCGCCCTCCCACCCCACCCCACTCCACCCAAACCGCTCACCGCAGGTCTTTCTGCTGGTGCTTCAGCGGGAAGGCGGTGGGAAACTTGCCCGCCACCATGCCAGGTGCCTGCGGCGGAGAGGGCAGGGGGAGCAGATGGACTGGGGGTTTGATAAAATGCAGAATTAATAGGGGTTCAAACAAGAAAAGCAGATTATATAGGGGTTTGACTAAACACGGGCATGCACAGGGGCAGGGGCGAGGCCTGGCCCCGCCGTGGCATGCTGGCATCGACTGCCAGGGCAGCAGCAAGGAGGCCCCCGCCGCGACTTGTAGTGCTCGCTGTACTGCACCGCGGCGGCTCGCCTTGAGGGCAAACATGGGGCTGGCTATGGCCCCCAGCTTCACCACCTCAATCAGGTCCTCCTGCCGCAGCCCGCAGCGCTGCGCCAGCTGCAGCCCTGCAGGCGCGCGGGGTCAACAGCAGAGGGGTGGGCGGGCGGGGGGAGTCGGCGGCGCGCATGCTGTGGGCACGGAGAGCTCGGAGACTGGTGTCAGGCAGGCGGGAGCAGGGCGAGAGGTGGTGCGCAGGCCGCGGGGGGAGGGGGCTAGGTGTTTTAGGGTTCCCGGGCCAGCAAGCCCACGGCCGCCAGCTGTTGTGTTAGAGGCAGAGCTCTTTAGGCTGTACAGGCAGCTTCCCCTCACCTTCCGCGTAGCTGGCCATCATGGAGCCCATGACCATGTTGACCACCAGCTTCATGTTGGCTCCCGCCCCCGCCTCGCCTGCACGCGCAGAAGAAAGAAACTCGAGCAAGCAGGCATAGCATGGCGCAGCATACAGCTGGCTTGCTACAGGCAGCATTGCAGGAAGCATTAAGCAATGGCGGCACGCCGGCAGCGTGGAAAACCCAGGCAAGCACGGGTGGGCCGGCTGAACCCTGCTGGACGGTACCGGCGGTACCAAAGTGCACCGAGGCGCACCCAGGAAGAAGCTGGCCTTGCCCATGACCTCCAGCAGCGGCGCCGCCGCCTCAAACAGGCTCTCATCGCCTGCGGCGGAGCAGGCAAGCAGGCAGGCCGGCAGCCGCCATCAGCGCAGGGCCACCAATGAGGGCAGCCAGCCTTCCTTTCTTCCTCCAGCAGCCTCCCAAATCATTAAAGGTGTTGCCCAGCAGGCTCCCAAAGCGTTGCCCAGCAGCCTCCCGCTCACGGCGGGCGCCGACCGGGCGCCGGCGGCGGCCAGGGGGCCAGCTGCTGCGCAGGGCGAAGAAAGCAGGCGCGGGCAGGCGCGCGGCGCGGCCCTTGCTGCCGCTGACGGGGGCCTCCAGGTAGGCGCCGCCCGCCGCGCGTACTGCCACCGCCACCTGGCGCGACGTGGCGGCATCTACCATGCTCACATCCACATATCCCTTGCCGGGGGCCATGGCTGAGGCCACCCCCTCAGGGCCTGCAGCCGGCGGGGAGGCGTGGGAGGGAGCAGGGGCTGGGAAGCTGGAAAGCATGGGGCTGCCAGGTGGCGGCCCCGTGCGGTGACGGGTGGCAACAGGCTGGGGCGACAGGCTGGGGCAACAGGCTGGACCCGCGCCGGTGCCGCCCAGGCCGCCCGCCCCGTTGCAAGCAGGCGCCTGGCCGCTGCCGAGTCCCCCGCACACACCTGTGGCCACAGCTAGGCAGGCCTCTGGGTCGGACAGCATGGCCAGGGCGATGTCGCAGGCTGCCACCGCCTCAGCCGGGGTGCCCGCCACCTGCGGCAAAGGCCCCGCAGGCGGCACAGGGCACAAAGCTCAGAAGGGAGAGGCTCGTGCCCAGCCTGGTTCCATGCCGCACACACAGGCATTCCGCGAGCCATGGTTCAAGGGCTGCGTGCGGTCAGCCTCTGCGCAGCCTCTGCAGCCTGCGCAGCCTCTCTCCTCAGCAGATGCCGTGCGCCGTCGGGCGGCGGCCAACAGGGAGACCCACCGTGGCTCCCGCCGCCGCCAGCCCGGCGCATTTGTCTGGCGAACGGTTCCACACCGTCACCTCGTACCCAGCCTTCAGCAGGTTGGCGGCCTGCTTGGGGCGGGAGACGGGCAGCCAACCGGCATGAGACAGGCGTGAGACGGCCGCTGGCGTAAGCCCCCCAAGCTGTAGCACCAGTGCTGGGTGGAGCTTTTGGTGCAGGTCCCATGTCGGCCCTGGCGCAGCTGCAGCACCCACCATGGCGTTTCCCATTATTCCGATGCCCAGGAAGGCGACCTTAGTCTTGCCAGGCTGCGCGGTGGGCACGGCTGCGCTGGCGGCGCAGCGGCAGCGGCGCGGGCGGCGGCTGCCCGCGCCGCTGCGCCGGCCCTCAATGCGGGCGTCTAGCGCATTGGATTGGTGCCGTTGCTGGGCTGGCAGGAAACAGCGAGGCAACCGAGAGGCAGCCCGGGTGCACGAGAGCACTGCCGATGGGCGGGTGCAGCTTGGTGGGACTGCCTGGCACTGCATGCTAGTGAGAGATCGATGCACGACTCCAGGAACTCCTCGCCGCGGCTTGGGTTCCTGCCTTGCACAAATTTGCTCACGTGGCGGGGATGGACCCCAGCTTGATCGGGGGGTCATGGTGGAGGCCCTATAGGTGTGCCAGGGCATTGCTTGATTGCGGGGGAAGCGCTCGACAGTGCAGGGGACGCCTTCGACATGCAGGTCCTTCACCCGGCTGGGCGCGTGCACAAGCTTGGAGTGGCGCCGGCTCGCGGCGGGGTGCTGCGCCGCCAGGCTCAGCCCAGGGCAGCCTCCAGCTCCGGCGGAGACGCTGATGGCGCCACCCAACCCTCCCGCTCGAGGCGTGAAATCCTGACAAACACCTTCCAGCTCCTCGCCGCAGCAGGACTGGTGACGGGGGAGCAGGTGGGATAGCGCCCCACCTCGCCGCCGCCGGCTGCCGCCGTTTGCCCCCGCGCCTTTCCCGCCGCTTCTATTCACCAGCCATCCGGGGCTTGGCCTGGCTCAAGTGCGCTCCAGCATCCCTTACAGCCCCTCGTCTCTGGTCGTCTGCAGGCTGCGGCCGCCGCCACGGTCGCCGCGGAGGCGGTCGCTGAGGTGGCGGAGCTGGGTACCGCCGAAGCCGCCAGCGAGACCTTCTCAACCGCTGCCGGCACCGAGGCAGCAGCCAGCGCCGTCGCCGACGCGCCCACCCTCCCCAACGCCGCCGCCTGCGCCGGCCCAGCTCCAGACCTGGAGCTGCCTCTCCTTGGGGGCGCGGCGACGGGCGGCGCCGCGCTGGGCGCCGCCGCCGCTGCCGCCGTGCTCAGGAGCAAGAGCGCCGAGGAGCAGGCGGGGTACGAGGCGGCGGCGGCAGAGCTGCAGGACAAGCAGCAGCAGCAGGCGGCGCGCGGGGAGGCGCTGCGAGGAGAGCTGGCAGCCCTGCAGGAGATGCAGCAGCAGCTGCAGCTGCGGATGGACGCCAGCGAACAGGCAAGCAGCGACCCGTGCAGCCTGCTGCCGGCTGCTGATGCGCCTTTGCCCGCGCCGTGCCTGCGTCGGCCCCCGCCTGCCTGTGCATGGCCGCTCGAGTGTGCTTGGCCGGCGCTTGCTGGGGCTGATGGGTTTGAAAGCGTACACCATAGGTGTATACTTTGTGTGCTGCGCAGCAGTGATAGAGCGCTGCTCAGCCCGCCCCCGCCCCGCCCTGCTGTGCTGCGCTGCAGGAGGGGCAGGCGCTGCAGCAGCACCTGGACGCGTTGGAGGAGTCGGCGGTGGAGCTGCGCCGCCAGCTGGCGGCGGCCGAGGCGCGGGGCGCGCAGCTGGGTGCTGAGGTGGAGCACTACGAGGGGGAGGTCGGGCGGTACAAGCAGCAGCTGCAGGAGGTACGGCCCTGTACTGCCGGCCGCTCTGCTTCCCTCCACCTGTTGGGCCACATGCCAGCGCGCCGGCTGCCAGGCTTGCCACCCCCTGCCTGCGCTGCGCTCCGCGGGCCGCCTGCGGCGCCTCAGGCATGCAGCAGCAGCCGGCCTGGCCTGCGGGACTGCTGAGCAGCCGGCTCGCTGCCCTGGATGCGCCCTGACGGGTCTGCGCCTGCACTCCTCTTGGGCCCACCCCTTCCTGCTGCCAGGCTGCTGCTGCGGCGGCGGAGGCCGAGGCGGCTGCGCGGCAGGGGCGGGCGGAGCGAGAGCAGCTTCGGGCGCAGGTGAGAGGGGCGGCGCAGGGCCGGGCGGGGCGGGGTGACGGGGCTAGGGTGCGGTGCCGTGCTGTGGGGAGGCGCCGGGGGGGCTGGCTGGCAGCCCGCAGGCGTCGCTCTCCCGCGGCGCGGCGCAGCCCCGCTCTTGCCTGCCTGCGAATGCACACACCCCCACGCCCCCACCCCCCCCACCCCACCCCCACACAGGTAC